TCCTCCGGTTGAACCGAAAGCCACGGAGTGCCCTGTCGATCACGCGCGTGAGTGAGGCTTCTGCCAAAAAGCCCGCGTGAGGCCTGTCAGTCGCGGCTGTGCTCGGGGAGCACGGGGTTCACCTGCACGGCAATTGACGAACTGTCCCGAATTTAATTGAAAAGGGATTACAATCAATCAAAGGATCGATTCTTGTGGGTTTTTTTTGTTTTGTTTCCATCGCGTTGAATAGGGGCGGCTGTAGTGGCTGCAGTGGGGTGACGTGGACATATTACATACAACATAGAACACACGATGAAGGCGCAGCCCTGCAATTGCACCTCGAGAGAGGGCTCAAGAGATCCTCCTCTGGAGGGTACCTTGGCCTACTCTTCCATGCTGGCCAGACGTTCTGGAAGAAGTGGGAATACCCAGACTTTACCTCACCACACATACGCCGGTCACTGCATCGCGTGCTTTCAAATGTGCTGATGCGGCCGTCTGGAACGCTCTTCCGTCCGATATGAGGAAGCCGCTAGAACTATGCACTTTTAAATCATCTACATTGAAAACTCATTTGTTTAGAACTGCTTTTTTGTTTACATTGTTGTCCTTCCCCCGCACCTCCGATTAGCATGGTTGGCGATGTACAGTACGAAAAAAGTTCAACACGCATATGTACAACGTGTTGATTGATCTGCGGTGTTATCCATCTATACTGCTGAGTGGATAGAGGTGGCGGGTGGGATTTAATAAACTTGCTCCATTGTTTTAACTGCCACACCGGGAGATCAATCGGACTGGCGACCTCTGCATTGCAAGTCCCATGTGCAAACCATGACACCATAGCAGGATCCATTTGTGAATACCGTTGATAGCATTGAGAATCATTGATAAGATTTTAAGTAAAAATAAATACAGGTTATTTCAATTCGTCTTCTTAATTGTAGATTTGTTAGTCGTGATTTTTTTTATTGTACGTTCTCAAGTATATGTAATTGTTCTTGTTTCTAGAGTGATAAGTGAAGGGATGTTTAAGTCTGTGGGTGAATAGTGGTGAAGCTCTGTCCTTTCCCAAATCCTGGCCAAAAAAGAAAAAATATAAATGAAACGATTATATAATAACAGCGATCTTCTTGGTTCTTTCGGTAAAGTCACGTAGAAGGGAAATAATCAAATAATAAAAATTATTCTTATGTTTTTTTTTATTATTTCCCTTCTACGTGACTTTACCGAAAGAACCAAGAAGATGAATCCCTGCAGTAATAAAATATTATTTTATTATGTTTTATTTTTATTATTTTATTATTTCCCTTCTACGTGACTTTACCGAAAGAACCAAGAAGATGAATCCCTGCAGTCACGAAAGCTTTACATCGAAATTTAACAACAGCAATGTTTACACACGCGATTCGATGCAGGTATCGTGACCTTAAGAATCAATATCAATCAATGGACTTGTTCCAGCCATGGTCTGCTCGCCAGCCACAATGTGCCCTCTTACAGCAAAGGCAGAGTAATACAAACCAGAGAAGACAAAATGCCTGTAGAGTAATGCGATGGCACAAAATTCTACGGCCATTATGGTTGGGCAAATAGAGGAAATATCTTTAAAAATATGATGCACGTCTTGGCTATTTTGAAAGCATTACGTAACGCCACTGAAAATGTGTCTTGCCGTTCAACATAATATATTTTGTCTCTGACAACTGGGGATTTATGTTTTTAACATTGATACAACCTGACCCCATCTAAATATATCACCAGAATATTTGGCCCTTTGTCAAACCGCCTCTGAATGAAGTTATCCCATGCTGCGTCGGTGATGAGGGTTGATTGACCTTACTTCACCATGCTGTTCATTGCAGGTTGGTGTATACGGAGCTCATAAGCGGTTAATACATCACTTTACCGCATATTTTTGTTACGTTTAGCCTTTTCAGTCATGGTCAGGAATTGAACTTCGCTTTGGCAGGCTCACAGTGCAATACACAAAGCCCTGCACCCCTGTTCCACGCGACTCACTCTTAACGTAAATTTTCCAAACTGCGGTAGTTTGATATACATTGCTACATAAAACTGTGCACCCATTGTATATACCGAAAATTTTAAAAAAAGGCAAGCATATTTCACAATTAGAGGCACTTATATAATGGCTTACACAATAGCACTTGGATACGGATGCATGAAAATCATACTCGGGGTATTTTACGTAAGAGGTGACGCGCGTGGTTTCCTCCAATGACCAAATCACCCTGAATGTCGCCGATCTGCCTTGGGACAAAAAAAACCAAGGTGTTGAAAACTTTGTGTTTCGAGGTGTAAAGATTGTCATCCCGTATGTGTGGAGCTATGAGTATTAATCCCTCTGAATTATGCATGATTTATCCAGTTTTTTTTTAATTTCCTCTCACATGCCAAACACCCATTTTATGGAATTGGCCAAGCATCCCGATGCAAGTGCCTCTCTTGTCGAAGAGTCTTGAGAATCCGTGAGACCGCCCTGGATAAATAAAGGGCACTTGGCCATGAAGTGAGTCTTGGCGATGGGTCTGTCACCTCTCTGCAGGGACCGTTTGTCCTCGCAACCTCGTGACTTGTGCTGTGACTAACCGAGCGGGTGATGTGTGGCTGAGGCTCACATTGGCACAAACACAGCCGCTCAACACTACGCACACAAGCTCTGTTTCCTTGCTTCAGCATCGTCAGAGGAAGCCACCTCGGAGTCACGGTTCGAACACTGGACTTGCGATCCAGAGGTCGCCTGTTTCTTTTGATCTCCCTGTGCGCGACAGTTGAAGTAATGGGGCAGTGTAGATGGGGTGCACAGCAGTCGGTCAGCAGGTCACGTATAGTGGGGCAAAGTGCCCGGCATGGCGTCGTGGGCCAAAATATCTTCTAGAGGAGCTTTCTAGAGCCCCCTCTAGTGGAGGCCCTTTCACCAGCATTGACGTGAGCAAGAAATGAATTGCTGCACCTTTGCCCCTTTTATATTTTCAGTACCGTCAGGCATGTCCATTGGACATATTGACATTTTCTGTTTTGTTTATCTCTGGGACTCTTTGCTTTCGTATTTTTTTGTTTAATCTCATCGTCTGAATGTCTTCCCTGTCTGCTTGACTGCGTCTGCGAATGTTTGTATGACTCTTCGTCCCGTGCGTTGTGACTTGGAGGTCAACTCAGCCCTTCATCTCTCCAGGGTCAATAAGCACACTTTGTAGGGAAAGTCAACAGTGGTTGTCCTGTGGAAAGATTTCCCCCATCATAGGAATGTGGAATATCAGTCACTGGTTCAGGGCTGTAAACTGGACGTGAGCGTTAAAAAGAGTTCAGTTGCGTGGAAAATCACACTGACCTTTTTACTTTGACAAATAACCATACGGTCGTCTCTTAAGTCCCTTAATTGCAATGGTACTCGGTGACATCACTGGACCGGAATCGCAGTCATGGCAGATATAGTACAAATATTCCATACCTTTCTATTCGTTGTTGATGTATCACCTGTTCAAATCAAAAGGCAAATAATAAACTATTTGACCGTTTATACACGGAAGATAGAAACAGAAAAGGATGCGATCATCGTCACGGTTACATTGTCACGTTTGGCTCAGCCAGGGGTGGGAAACAGCTCCCTTACGGGTCGTCAAAGATGACTTTAAAAAATACCTTTGGCGGGCCTCGCATTCACAATCACACCTCAGCGTCATCCAATAATAACGTGAACGGCAGGGCTCCCGTTCTTATTCTTCTTCCGTGTGGCTGATGTAGATGCAGAGCAACAGCTACAATTTCACATTCAGGTGGTGAAGCCAGACAACCGTGTCAGCCGCAGCGGAATGTAGCGCTCTCATGTCTCCCTTCGCATTTGTGGATCGGGGCATTGCGTCGATATTATGTTGTATGGCCCCTTCCTGGATGACCACAGTCGCACACTACCGGAGAGTTGTACATTTTCCATTTGTGCATCAGGTATCCGCAACTGCCATGGTTTGTGAGGATGCTGGACCATGAGCTTCTTGAAAGATCAAACAATGGGGTGGCTAAGAAGATGCCTACAGTGATGGAAAAACATCTATTGTGTGACATTTCAGAGTGGCCGTGGCCATAAGAAATTAAGTTATTGGCTTAACTAAGTTGCTCAGCCCTGATTTCAGGGCATCACTTGTCAAGACGCTCGTGTTAGGAATGGTTAATCAAAAGTGTTCAATGCATGTTGTTGGTTGTATGTATTTCACGTGTTCTATGTATTTCATGTGTTGTATGTATGTTGTGTGTGTCGATCACACGTAAAACAATTCAGCTGCGTGGTGATTAGATTAATTACACTGGTCAACAAAAAAAATTCTGGCCTGGACTTTTTGCAGCTGTTTTAGACTAATTTCAGGGTGCTGATTCCAAATCTGATCCTCAGATTTGCTCTATCACATCTCATTTTTATGTTATCGGCATACCCGATTTTCATTGATTTTACCCGAAATGAAGTCTGTCACTTATGATTGCAAGTTGTTGCGAGTCAGTGACAGCTTTAGTGTTAAAATATGGTGCTGTATTTTTAGGATAGTGTGTTTATAATATCATTTTATGTAGATATCAACATTTATTTAATATTTTTCTTCTGCAGTTTCTATTGAAAATGCAATATTTGATATCTCAAAAACCTGATGTGATAGACAAAAACTGATGCCAGATTTAAAATCAGCACCCCAAAATTACCTTAGAACCGTCGGAATACCTTATGCCAGAAAAAGTGTGTTGACCAGTGTTATCATTGTTATTCAGGGTCACGATTCATTTCAAGAAAGGGTGACATGAACTATTTACATACAACATCCCAATAAATTGACTTAATAAAATGAAAACTCGATTCTTCCACACACTCGCGATTCGACGCGTGTACCAGCAGCCCACAAATTGACGGCGGTCAAAATCAATCGCAACGTCGCTTCATGCACCACCCCCCCCCCCCCCCCCCCCGTGCCCATGTCTCACTCTCCTCCCGTCTCTGTCTCTCGCCCCCCCAGACGTTGACGAGTGCGAGGTTAACAATGGCGGCTGCCAGCACGTGTGCGTCAATACGATGGGCAGCTACGAGTGCCTGTGCAAAGAGGGCTTCTTCCTCAGCGACAACCAACACACCTGCATCCACCGCTCCGAAGGTAGGGCGCTCTCCTCTGCACGTGTGTGTTCGTACGTTGAAACTTTTCCTACGCACCGTGCCTAGCCAACCGCGCCGAATCGGAGGTGCAGGGAAGTGAGTCGGAGGTGAGGCACTGAGACAGAAGCGGAACGAAAGAAATTGCTTGGGGCCCCAAGAGCTCAAGAGCACCCCACCCTTTATCTCCCCACCTCGATTCACGTGGATTTCAATTGTAGCCGGATTCTCCGCAACATCAGATGCTCCAGAAGGTAAGACGGAGTGCTGAAATTCAGCCGGAATGGTCTGGAACTCTGGTCTGGGAATTTGTTTGGCACGCCACATCCACCTTGCCTCATTTTGTCCCCACGCTTGTGTACATACCTGGCACATAAGATCATAGCATATATGGGGCACTATAGTATGAAATTATAATTGACAGCTGTAGCTTGTACCCTCATGCCTTATGCCGGTAATCCCTACTCCGTGTCAGCCTAGCAGCGTTTAAGAAAATATCTCATGAGAAACGAATCCCTTGTTGGTGAGACGCACCACAAACCTGTGCCCGGTGTCAAAAACGTTCTATGAATATGGTCACACGCACACACTTACTTGATATATAAGACAGTTGAAACTCCACGACCAAGTTTGTAACAAGACACAACGGTATTCAAAGGGCAAATGGCACTTGTGCATTATGGGAAGAAAAAGAAAAAAAAACCCCATCAACCGTTCCTAAATAAGTGCATTGTGGTCCTCTTGTCTAAGATCACCATCAAAATCATTTGAGCACACGCGTGCGACTCACTGAGAGGTAGCAGTGATGCAGAGATAGACACCTGTGAACGGGGTTCACTCTTGCCTCCTCTAAGTCCACTCGCACTGCGCTATGTAAGGCTAACTCACGTTCCCAATGTCTCAGATCTTTGCAGATTGCCCTGATTTTGGCTACATCGGACAATGGGCCCTCATTCAGTTCGCGAACTCACACACACACACACACTTTGGCAAGAGAAAAGCGGGACGAAAAGTGCTGCGTGTAATTGTGATACTCTAGGTGCGTGCGGCCTATGTTACCAGCAAACTTTGCTGTCACACGGGGTGGTGGGGGAGGGGGGCTGAGGGTGAGAGTGGGAGGAGGCGGGAGTGGGGGAAGCAGAGTATAGATGCACCGGCACGGGCCAGTCTGTAGCAACCGCTCTGATGCAATTACACGGTCGTGCCGCGCGTTGATCGGAAGACGTCCGATGTTTCGCTCCACGAGCTCCTGAGCTCAATTTAACCCTTCCCCGACCCGAGACGTCCGCAGGTTGCAGGGTGGGTCCCGTTCGCCGTCGAATTTCGGCGGTGCGGCAATGGCGCCGCTGTTGTGAAACACTTTGTGCTCCTACTCTTTGGTTCTTTCGGTAAAGTCACGTATGAAGAAAAAAAAATAATTAAATAATAAAACGTTTCGATTGCAACACAAGCAATCATCATCAGGTATAAATGATATAGCAACAAAAATCTAACCAGAAAACTATAGACAGACATATAAGCAAAATACATAGAAAGAGAGCAACACATGTGCTCGCCGCAGAGAACTGTAGCGACACGACCGCACTCTACAATAGCCAGCGCCAGACTGTGCCACACGCCCTTCAGCATGGCCTTGTGGGAGCCTCGGTACTGATGATGTTATTTTATTTTAGTTTCTCTTTCAGTTCCATTCGGAACGGAATCGGAAGAAACACTGATGACGTACACACACGTACACGTACGTCATCGGATCTGGAAAGGGTTTCCCAACATGTGAAAACCCTACGCAGTGGTGGCCTATAGCCGGTTAAAATAATGATTTACAGCACCCTGCCAATCCTCGTGTGGATGAAGTCCTCACCATGCTATGTCTGTCATGGGAATTGTTTCACTATACCTCACCATGGTCAATATGGATTGGTGATGGGGTGGGGGCAGCACAGGTAAAGATATCTCTCACTCCTGAGGTTAGCCATGGCCGGGGATCTAACACGGCGTTGTGGGTTCATAGCGCACCGTCACGAACCACTGTGCTATCGCTCCTTCATAAATAGTCAGTTTATTTATCAATACATTGATGTACTCAATGTATCAATACAATACATTGCTGACCCGCCCCTAGTGGACGTATGTCAAAAAGAGCTTCATAGCTCATCGGATTCCTCCAGTCTAAACGCGGATTCTGATTCTGACACGCGTTGTAATGGTTAGCACACCGGACTTGCAATACAGAGGGCGCAGTTGCAACAATTAGGCAAGTTTCTTAAATGCCCATGCTTATGACCACCCAGCAGTATAGATGGACGCACCACAGTTAGTCGGTCGACAGGGCGCGTGCGGTGGGTGAAAGTGTGGGTACTCCCACTTCTGCCAGGGCCGTCTGGCCAGTGTGGCAGAAGAGGAAACATACTCGCCTGGGCTCCTTCCAGTGGAGGCCATTCCTTCAGCAGCGGCACGAGCAAAACACTTGCAGGGCTGCACCTCACTTTCTGAAGTTACTCGAGCAGGAATCTGTTCAGTACATGGGTGAATGGTGTTCGTGTGGTTCTGCTGGGGGGGGGGGGGGGGCACAATATATTAAGGTTGCCCCTGAGTGTTGGAGAGCGTAGTTGTCACGGCGCTCGTTAGGGTTGATTTACGCAGTGCCGTTTTGGAAAGAGAAGTGGGGACGTGCGGCGTTATGACTGCTCATTACACCCCTGCGTTGTGTCCATTTGGCATGGAACTCTGAATATTCAGCACAGCTGTCAGGAATGCACTGCGATATAAATGAATGCTGGCATTGAGCATAGGCGTTTGCCATTCATAGCAATGTACAACAACTTTGTCATTAAAACTCAATATGAGTTCCACCAGTGCACATTTTGTACATGGCAAATGCGTTCCTAACTACAGCATAGACATTGCATTCGCTACCGTGTGTGTTGCTTTTGATGAACTTTACTTCAGAAGTAGCGGCCCGTTAGTCATGATGAATCTACAGGAGTCAATAATGAGGCTGTGTACAGCTATCACTGAGCTGGTATTGCCAGTGGGTACGATCAGTGCATTGGCAGATGACAATACCGTGTTCGTTGTGACATACAGGCCGTGGACAGGGATATGTTCAAGAATACGATGGCATCTCTGTGATGTCGCGTTGACATGCAAAGCATGCTGGTATTGAAGGCAATCTTCCGCTGTGTTACTCCGTCGCTCGTCTGTTCTGCGACGTGTCCCCAGCGGTAGCACGTTACCCGCTTGTTGCAGAGGTTCATGGTTCGAATCCAGCAACTGCCCTGATCGTTTTAAATTTCAAGCTTTCGTGACTGCAAGGATATTCATACTCTTAGGTTTTTTTCGGTAAAGTCAAGTAGGTAAAACATTATAATAAAATAAAATAATAATAAATCACTACGTTTCGGAGGCAACACAAGTCTCCGTCTTCAGGTGGGACCGTCACAGCTAAACTCTCACTTGATACAGTAAATCTAGCTGTGACGGGTCCCACCTGAAGGCGGAGACTTGTGTTGCCTCCGAAACGTCGTGATTTATTATGATTTTATTTTATTATAAATGTTTTACCTACGTGACCCGCCCTGATCGTTCCTGCGGTGTGGTATGAACCCGAAGTAGTCGTAGTAGCAGTGACATTACGCCCCGCCTGCTTCCCAGAGGACGTTACAAGATTAGGCCACTGTGTTGTTGCGAGAAAAAAACAAATGGCACGGCAAATTATTCCATCGGGATTGTACAAAGCAGCAGTCGCCTCCAACCGGCAGAATAATGCCCCATGTCACTCTTGCAAATTAAACTATCCTGGTCTATCGGGTTCTCACCACCTGGTTAAACAAAATTAAGTGAACTAAGTTAACATCATTTATATTAGTGATGTTAAATGTGTGATGGACTCATAGAATGTCAGGGTGTTTAAAGGGCATCATTCTTTGTGTGTTTTCATCTATAGCTGAACGAATTATGACGATGATTATGATTATCGGACACCGCAAAACCTCAATGTGTAACTTAGTGAGAGTAAATCTTGACTTAAAGCTTTCGTGACTGCAGGAATTCATATTCTTGGGTCTTTCTGTAAAGTCACGTAGATAGGTCAAGCGAAAATACCTTTACAATCGAAACGTCGTAGTTTTTTGTTATTTTTTTTGTTAGTGAGAGGATACAAATGTCTATCAATGCAGGTCTCAGTTGGACAAAAATTGAGAGAAACGTTTAACAAACACAATACATTCCCCTGCCACGTGTGTTAAATAAAATATCCGCCACCTTTAATTTTTGGTTACGATTTTTCAATTTATTTCCTACTCCAATAATGTTGTTATGAGAAGCGAGTCAAAGATTGTTTATGTTTGAAAAATAAACCGAGTGTTTTCTCTCTAAAGAGTCTTATTGTGATTGCAATTCTCTTGGCTTACAGGCAGCCAAGTGAAAGTGTTACTTGGATGGCATTGTTATTCAGTAGGAAGCCATAAATTAAAACAAAGAATTTTTACATTTGGCCCAAAATCCATTCTTTTCTCATCTCCGTGTTTTTTCATGTGTCTGTGCACCAAGGTCATCCAAAAGTAGAAATATCAATTTGACTTAATTTTCCATTACTGATGTGTAATGATACATTTTAATGAGGACATTTTGTCTTAAAAAAAAAATCTAGGGATGGCTGCTCCACGGATGATTAATTATACGTGCAAATTCATCACAAAAATGCTGAGGAGGCCCAGTGATAAGCGCACTGGGCTTGCAATGAGCCTTTAAACAACGCAGAGCTCTCCGGCACTATCTCCTGGCGCGGCAGTTGAAATGATCGGCAAGCTCCTCAGTACTTTCCACCTCTGCTCACCGAGCAGTGTAAATAGGTACACTGTGGTTCGTCGATTGGCAGGTCCCGTGTCATGGGGTAAAGTGCGAGTACTCCCTCCTCGGTCATGATGTCTGGCCAGTGTGGAAGAGTAGGCCAAATACCTCTCGAGGGGCTCCCCGGTGCTCCCTATTGTGGAGACCCTTCCA